TATAATTTTAATTAATTTAGTGGAACTATTATTAAGTGAAAATCTCTAGAAAGATTCTTTGTGAAAATCCCTAGAAAGATTATTTGTATATCTAGATGAATGCTATCCAGTAAACCACATGAATAATTTTAAATTTTTGTAGTCACCACATTAAAACTAGACATTTCATGTTAATTTAAAGAATATATTTAATTTTATTTAGGAAAATCAAAATATCATTTCAAATACATGATATATGGGGCTTAAAACTTTTTCCTTTTTGTACTAAATCTTTTAAATCTGGTGTGTATTTTAGACTTACAGCACATCTCAAATTTTAAATCTGGTGTGTATTTTAGACTTACAACACATCTCATCTTGAAATATAGTAATATTTCAAGGGCTCTGTTGTCATCTGTGTCTAGAGGCTACCATATTGGATAGTACAGGTCCAGATTTTTGAAGTTGAAACTAGAGCACTAGTATATTTTTATTTTATCTTGATGAGAAACATAGAATAGCTAGTATGTTATTCTAATTAGATTAATTAACAAATGTTTAGAATGACAGCCTAGTCTAAGGACATGTAGTAAACCACCACTTAATCTTAATAAAGAAAATGTAATGGATACATTGCTGATTCAGTGCCAAGGGGCAAAGAAAAATACAAGCTGCTAGTGCCTTCTATTATACAACAAATAAAACTCTAACCCACAAATCTAAAGGGAAAAGTAAAACTAATGAGCTTTGGTTGGAATGAGACCAGTGGTGGAACCAGTTTGACCACACAGCATTTCACAGAGTCTCTTGGGAAGATGGGTTTAAGGGCCGCACTCTGGGCCCAGGGGCAGGAAGCCAAAGGGCAAAGACCAAGTTCTTCCAAATGTCAGTGTGTTATGGTGCCCTTCTGTTAGTGTCTTAATGAAGCTTGGTGAATTGAAGACAGACTGCCTGTGGGGTGTTATAGCGTCATATTCCAGCTATTAGTAGGAATATCTTGCATTTATGTAGAATTCAGTTTTTCTTTTCTTTTTTAAAATATCTTTTATTGATGTTTTTTACAGAGAGAAAGGGAGAGGGTTAGAGAGCTAGAAATGTCAATGAGAGAGAATCATCGATCAGCTGCCTCCTGCACACCCCCTACTGGGGCTATGGCAGCAACCAAGGTACATGCCCCTGACTGGAATTGAACCTGGGATCCTTCAGTCCGCAGGCCGACCGACGCTCTATCACTGAGCCAAACTGTCTTTGGCTGAATTCAGTTTTTCAAAGCGCATTTTCTTTGATTCTTACACAAATTTTTAAAGGATGTTTTGCTAATTATGGCATACCAAGCAAGCTAAGACAAAAAAAAAAAAAAAAATCATTTCAACAAATGAGTATTGAGCAATTATTAAGCAAGGAATTATGTTGGCCTTTAAGAGATAATAATAATTGGTACTTGAGAATTTATATATGAGACCTCAGATATGTAAGTCTTGAAATTTGGAATCATTTGATTTCAGGTAATATATTCATATTTGCTTCAGGCAAATGCCCAAATTTCGAGGCTTAGCCATGTCTATCAGCTTTTTTTTTTTTAAATCATGGCGAACTGGATTGAATCAGGTAGGAGACCCTCCTTTATTCTTAGTGGGTTCCTTTCAGTTTTCCCACTCAAATTTCCAAAGGGGAAAGAAAAGATTGTAGAAAAAGAGTTACTTTTACTATCTTCTAGCAAAGATTTACTTGATCCTCAACACTTTTGGACTCAGAGTTTTACTTACTGGAGGTAAAATTGTCTATGAATGTGTTGGTGATGGTGACAAAGGTGGCAGATGGGATGGGGGAAAGAAAGATCTTGACTGCTCCCTAGATTTCAGCCTGAGATAGGGCAGAGTATGTCACAAAAATATTCCCATATTTTTCTTCTCTTATGCCAGTTGCTTTAATATTCAAGTCTAGTGAACCAGATATATTACTACCTGAAATGAATGACATAGTGGATTTCTTTATGAGATTCTTTCTCAAGTCCTTGACATTGCTCATATTAACTTGAACCAATATAATGGGCATTTATAAGTGTGTCATTTTTATTGCTCCCAGAAATGACTGAAGTGTGACATGTAATTACTTACCAGTAAATTCATTCTAGAATGAACTTATCTTTTTTTATATCAATTCTTTGTACTTATGTGTTACATGGAAATTTATCTTTTTGTACAAAAATGAGAGACTCCCCCTTCTTCCCCCCTCCCCCTGGACTCTGCTTGGTACGAATATGAGGGCTCTTCTGGGCCCTGTCTACAATTTCTGAAACAAAAAATTTCTCTTCAGATTTCCTTCATTTTCAACTTTATTAAAAGTAATCAGGAATAATTATGTTCCTAAGGAGATACTATTATCAAAGAAATTTTGCTTTGAAGGAGAGACATCTTAAGAGTTAAAGTGTTTGGAAGGTTATTTTGTTTGTATTTTATTTTTATTTTGTAATGAGAAAGACTCTACATGGTTGTGATCAGAGAGAAAAAGTCCACTAGAGATAGGGAAATGGGTATATTATATGAGAATGGTGGTGAGATTAGGATGATAGACATTTCTTGATCAAAATCAGTGATGGAAGAGAGTAAGAAGAGGAGAAAAGATGATGGAGCCTATATCAAACTCCCATACCTAAGTTAGATAAAAGGCATGGGAATAGTTAAGAGTAGGTTTGGGAAGGGTAGCTTTGAAAAAAGTACAGAAAATATAGAACCTCTTTGCCTCTGGCTTCATAGTAGGAACACCTGCATGCTTTTATGGTTTTTATTAAAATATATTTTTAGTTGATTTCAGAGAAGAAGGGAGAGGGAGTGCATACCCCACACTGGGGATTGAGCTCACAACCTGGGAAACCCAGGCATGTGCCCTGACTGAGAATCAAACTGTGACCTTCTGGTTCATAGGTCAATGTTCAACCACTGAGTCATATGGCCAGGCAACAACTGAGTGCTTTTAAAAACACAGGGCCTAACCCCAGTTTAATTATAGTAATCAGAATCTCTGAAAATTGAACCTAGGCATAGCACTTTTTTAAAAGGTCCAGAAGTTCTAACATGTAGCCAGAAATGATAATCTATTAGGGTGGTATTGTGCTAGAATGTCATTTTCCTACTCTAGCCCAATTAAATAGAAATTTTAGGTGTGGGGACAGGATCAATATTTTTACAAAGCTCTCTAGTTGGTTCTAATGGGTAGCCAACTCTGAGAATCTCTGCATTCAGGCACCAATGTTTGAGACTAATAAAACGTGAGTGGTGAAAGATAAAGGGATTTGCTCCCAATGTTCAGGATGTTCCTTTACATTCTTTGGGCTTTCCTCCTGGTCTCTGCTCTTTTGTTGCTGATGCTGGACCTGTTCCCTGGATTCCCATCATGACTATCCGTGCCTGGATCCAGACACAGATATTCTGTGTTATCACCTAAAGATCCAGGCCAGCCTCCTTGCAATCCCACACATTCAAGTCTGATTTGAAACTCCAGATTGACCAGCTGTTGTTCTTCCTGGGCTCTCACTAACCTGGGAAAGGAGATTAGACTATTATTATTTGTGATTTCTGATTAGTACCTGTGATCTTGTGCTCTCCACAGTGTTTATTCTGGGAGCTCACATTGGACAAGGAAACCCCAACTTACTTTGACTAGGACTTGACCCATAATTGCGATTGAGTTTCAGTTAGAAGGACATCAGGTGCCATTAGAAGAGCAACTGGGAGTTCAATATCGATATGCCCTCAACTATACAAGTTTCATTGTTCATATGCCTAAATTCAAAGATTCCAGTTTTGTTCTTACATCACAAAATTTATTTGATATGGGACAACAAACTTAAATGAATTCACTCACAATCCTGTGTAATTTAAAACTCATTGGAGGTTCTCTTGATGGTTAGAAAATCATCACATTTCATCAGTACCCAAATTTTATTAATTCTACCTCTTTATTGTTTCATACTCTTTTCTCCACCCTGACCATGACTGACACAATTTAAGGCACTATATTCACTAATGTATTAATTTCTGTACTTGTCTGCCAATCTCTAGTCTCTTCTCTCCCCAAGTCCTTCAGACCTAGTGCTGCCTAATTGGCCTATCCCAAATGAAAATGTGATCATCTTAACTTCTCTACTCAAATTCTTTTAATGATTCTTGAGGAGTGAAAAATTACTGACCTTGCCTGGAGGGTAGAAAGTTACTACTCCCTCCCCCTCCTGGACCTGAAGACCAAATCAACAGTCTGGGTTAGTCAAGGCTGAAGGCCAAATCAGCAGTCTGGGATAGTCAAGGCTAAGATAGCAGAACAAACCAAGGAGGGAGATTAGGCCATCTGGCAGATGCATGCAATCACAAGGTTAAGACCACCCCCCTCCCCCCTTGTTTGGAATGTGCTTGTTTGAAGAATGCTTAAAAAGAGAGAGACCGCTTTGTAACTGCTGCTGCTTCTGGCCGCGCCATTGCCACGGCGGCAGCCCAGATTCGAATCTGCAATAAAATTTGTAATTAGACTCCGCAATTGGCTAGTTGGAGTTATTTCCCGGGTAGGGGTCTCTGCCTCTTGGGTGGTCTCATCTCCATTCAACAATTCTCTATGACAAGCATGTCAAACTCATGGCCCACAGGCTGCATGCGGCCCACATTGAATATTTTTTGCAGCTCAGCCAATATGATGATATGTAAGAAAGGTTTTAATAAAAATTTTGTAACTTAATTTCTCCAATATAGTGTTATACATAATAATTAATAACTATAATGTTCACGAATGACTGATTACTATAATTGTGTTGCATTCATTTCCCTTATATGCCTTATGTGCAACCACACAATTTCTCTCCACTAATACTAGCAGGGAATATTTTAGCAGCCAATTGCCATGTCATTAGTCTTGTTCTGACTTGTTTGGTGTGCACAACAGGAAACATTTTGCTTTTGGAGAACAAGAAAAATAGGCTTATTTGCATTATGCTTATTACTTTGTGCAGTTATTCAGTGTCTGGTAAGTTAATGTTCAAGAAAAAATATTAATTTTTATTAAAATGTTCTATTATTTTATGTTAACGATTACTCATTTATTTCAGGCCTTTGTCTTCAGCATATCTCTATCGAAATAAATCTTGGAGTTTGACATGTGTTATAGTTATATAAGTGTGATGTTTGATTTATATTTTAAGGATTTAAAACAGTGTGAGAACAATTATTTGTGTGATTTAAAATAGGACTGAAAGCATTTACTTTTATGAGTGATTTATAATTTTACTGTGAATTGTATTTCTGATCTTATTCTGATTTTATTTTAAGTAAAATAAATTATTTGAAATGTGTTTTAGGTTTAGTATAAGTAATTCCATTTAGTGTGACTTCAATCCATTTTGTAAAATTTAAGTCTTAAGACTTTGAGCCCCTAACTGAGTGAATGCCCTAACATGTGCTTATCTGGAAAGTTGTAACTGTGTGGATGCTCTAACGTGTTTATCTGGAAAGTTGGAAAGCGAGGCAAAAAGTACCTGGAGACCCCCGATTAAAACACACTGAAGACTCATTGGTTGCACCCAGAAGGAACAAGGGAATACCCAGAAATGGCCATAAAAGAAGGGACCTAGAGGCACTGATCAGAGACCATGAAGGGGCCCTCCACCCGACGTGCTCTCCCACTCCCTTCTCCCTGTTTGAAATACTGCATGAGACTCTGCCTGAGTGAAGCTATCACTCTGCCTGTGAGCCAAACCTCTGAGGCCTCGTTCCTGACCCAGACGCTGCAGCGGCGTGTTCCTGTCCAGTGTGTGTGTCTGCCGGCGCGGATCTCCAGGTGACCTGCCTAGGCTTCTGGAAACCACCAGGACTCTGGTAAATGAACCTTGGGATTCATGCATTCTAACTCTTGTTTCTGTGTTTAGTTTATGCTCGGTCAATTTTAGTTAAGTACTGTGGGCAACCCGTATAAGTCCAATCCTTTGGCTGAGGGACCCCAGTCACCTGAGCATACCATCCCACCTGAAGGTGAGTTGGAACAACATGCTTGCTCTATGACCTCAAAAGTAAAATTCTTGTGTGGCATGCAAAGCTATCATATCAGGGCCATAACTACCTCTGCAGTTTTATTCCTGCTACTGACTCTTTCTATACTCCAGATAGCCAGCTGGTAGCTCAGTGAGCAGGCTGTATTCTCTTTTCTTCTATGTTTTTGCTCATGTGGTTACTCTCCCCCTGTTAGTCCACCTGCCTTACTGTGCAATCTCTTCTCTCTGAGGCCTGCCCTACCTTTGCCCGCAGCCTGAGGCAGCTCCTTTGTTAAGGCCACATGGTTCTTTGAAACACTCTTCCAACAAGATATTGTCTTCATTCTAATTATTAATTGCCTATGTCCCCAATGAGACTATAGCTGCTTGAGGGTGTGGAAAATGAGTTTTTGAAGTAATGATATTTCGGTTTGAATCTTTAGGAGATTTAAGTCTTCCAAGAGAAAACTAGTATTATAACTAATAGAATATCCACAGTATATTTGGTACTTAATTAAATTAACACAAGGCTAGCGAGGTAATAAGTGATAAATCTAATATCCTATGAAAAAATGCATTTTGTGATATAACTTACACCATTATATTATCACTTGTATTTATTTGCACAGTGAAAAAGACCTTGTAACTAAATGAGTGTGCACATTTTAATCTGAAAAGTGCTCCTCCATTTCAGCTTTCTTTGTCTACAGACCTAACCCATGGTCTCATGGTTATCCATTTCAAAATGTGCTTGATCCTAAAAATTCTTGACTCACTAATTTAAAAAAAAAATCTTAATGATTTTTTGCAGAGAGGAAGGGAGAGGGATAGAGAATTAGAAACATCGATGAGAGAGAAACATTGATCAGCCGCCTCCTGCACACTTCCTGCTGGGGATGTGCCTGCAACCAATGTTCATACCATTGACAGGGATAGAATCCAGGACACTTCAGTCCGCAGGCTGATGCTCTACCCACTGAGTCAAACCGGTTAGGGCTTGACTCATTTATTAATTCATTTACGTAACACATATTTATTCAATATGGAATATGTATTATATGTAGCACTATGCTCAAAGAAAAGGGTACAAATATTTAAAAAACACATTTTTCTCTTGAGGGTTTAGAAAATAGAAGTTTTATACATGATTATATCAATTGACCCTTATGATCGTCCTGAAGGACAGGTATTATCATCTCCATCTTATAGATGAGGACATTCTAGAACAGTATCATCTCAGAGTGTCTTAATGCCCTGATGTTTTTCTAAATATGACTTGTATGCATGCATATAAGCCTAATCAATAGACACAGACATGGCAGTGAAAGGAGGGTGGTGAGGGCATGAGTGGAGGAATGGAGGGGCTATGGAGGGATAATTACATATGTAATATTTTAATCAATAATGATAAAATGTTTTAAAAAAGAAATATATAAGCTTCGTTGTTTTGGAGATTTTCTTAAGGTTTACCATTGTGTTTCCGAAAATTTAATGTGGACTCAAATCACCCTGGGATCTTGTTCAAATATAGATTCCCAGTCAGTAGGTCTGGGGTGGGGTTTGAGATTCTGCATAACTACCAAACTCTGAAATGCCACACAATTTATCCATGAACCACACTCTGAATAGCAAAAGTTGAGACTACCTCACATGTAGAATCACACTGTGTCAAGCATCAGATTCACTGAGGCTTTTGTTTGGAAGATGGGAGTCACCTCTACCTCTCAACATTTCTTTAAAAATGAAAGAACAGCTTTCAATTCTCATCCTTGATCTTCCTCAGCCTCCTGGGCCCAGCCAACAATGTGTGTCCACCATGAATCCTCTTCACCTCTTCCACCTCACAACAATCTAGGCCTTCCAAGACTGCTGTACTCATTGATAGTTTTCTCATATCTTCCAGTTTTGTTTCCTAATCTAGATTGTAAACTCTTTGAGGGGGAAAAAAAGGCTTATTCATTTATTCACCCTCCATGCTGTTGCACACTTAATACCAGTGAACAACCTGAACTTCTACCAGGTATTTAAAGGGGAATCCAGCTTGTCCCTAGGACTATATGTCATCTCTTAACTAATTTTCTCATTTAGTCTTTTGCAAGACCTGTGACCTTTTTACCATTTTGCAGATATATAAGCTGAAACCCAGAGAGTTTGTTACTTTAGTTTACCCATAATGATGTCAGGAACTCAAATTTAATTCCACCATTATCAGAGGGAAGCCGGGGGGGAAAGAGGGGGAGAGGGAACAAGGAAAATTGTAGGAAAGGATTCTCTTCTCATTATAGTTTATGTTCCACTTATTTTCCAGTCAAACCAGTTCCCTGAGCCCAGGAAGCATTCAGGCTCAGAATGCCATGAGCTTTCTGAAGCTTCTTGAAGGGCTGGTGGCTTTGACAAGGCTGTTGTCTAATTCTCACCATCACTTTACTTCATTTCACGTCTGGATTTCTGTCATCTCAGACTGAAGAAGATTGATTTGGTGGTTATATATTTATTCTACTGAGGAATCAGTTAAATGGAGGTAGTAGTTTTATAATTCAACATGTTTTTGAGATTTACAGTCTGTTTTATGTTAATTTAACCCATAAGATGAAATGTAGTTATGTCTAAATAGTCTGCAATGCAGTCTATTTTTACTGATGCTTATTATTTATTTATTTATTTTAAAAAAATATATTTTATTGATTTTTTACAGAGAGGAAGGGAGAGAGATAGAGAGTTAGAAACGTTGATGGGAGAGTCATCCATCAGCTGCCTCTTGCACGCCCCCTCTGGGGATGTGCCCGCAACCAAGGTACATGCCCTTGACAGGAATCGAATTCGGGACCCTTCAGTCCGCAGGCCGATGCTCTATCCCCTGAGCCAAACCGGTTTCGGCTATTGATGCTTATTTTATTTTTTGAGTAAAATATAGAAATGGATAACAATAAAATGTTAGCAGAAAAAAATACCTGCTTTCTTTTTTTCATTCTGTTTTTCTGGAAGTTCATAAATAATGGGAGTATGAGGAGTGGCTCAGGCTTCCTATAGCTCTTTTTCTAGCATCTTCCACTCCTATAGGCCTCCTTTCACATGCTTTTTTTTTTTAAAGTGAAGACAAATAACTGAAGTTTTGCATGCCCAATAGGGAATTTAATCATGTGAATATACTCAGACTTTATTAGATCTTTTCTGATTAATCTTATAATCCTCGAATCAGATTGTTTTTTAAAACAGCTTTGGCTCTAAGCTGGTAGTTACAAAATAGTCATGGAGATGGAAAGAACAGCATAGGGGAGATAGAGGGGAGGGGAAAGCTGTTGAAACTGCTCCAAGAGTAGTAGTCAAGGATAGTGACTCTGGAGAAGATAGATGGGGTCCACAGCTTACTGAGTGAACTTAGAGAGTTCACTTAAATACCCCTTTTAGTCATTAACATCAACATGGATATGATCATATCTATTATAAACATGAAATTAGTAAACCTGGGTAAAGCACTAGGCTTTTATAAAAAACTCAGTAAAGATCAGCTTTTATTATTTCACTTCTTTCTTGACCACTACTTCCAGAAGTTCAATTCTGTGAGCGTATGTCCTTATGAGATGCTAATTGGTTGGCTTAATTGTTAAAGTTCCATTAAAGGAGATTATTTTTTTGGGGGGAGGGGTTAATATTTTAGAGCTCAGATTGAATTATGCATATATCTGTATTTTCTTTTTCAATTTTGGTGTCTATTTTTGGTATAACTGTTGTAGTTTTGCTATATATTTTTTTCGTGAACAGTATTTAATATAGAAACAACTTCATTGTATTGTGACTTTTGGAATTTTTTAGTATTTGATGTTCTCGCTGGATAGAGGGTTTTGAATTATTTAGCCACTTTCTTTTTGAGCTTCCTAATCACAGATGGGTACAGTTAAAATAAACTAGGTATATACAAACACAAAAGGGGCTGGAATAATGACACTATGTAGAAGAAACTGGCAATTATACTTGGCAGTTTTTTTTTTTTTTAATACTTTTCTCCCAAATAGATTTGGACTGTCTTATACTACACTATATTTTCTTGGATGCTTAATAAATAACCACCTCATGAAATTTATATATTTTCAGCTTATATACTCTTTCTTGAACCCAAGATTACAGATATAGCACTTAAGTTAAACTCTATTCTCTTTATGTGCATACTTAGACATTGAAGCATAGACCACTTATTCTTATGGGTCAAGACCCTGTAAAAATTAATGAGATGTGTCAGAATAGTGCCTGTGGGGATGACAAAAACAGTGGTGCTATTCCAGATGGAAGACAAGCGAGTTCTGCCAGTGGGGGGCATTACCAGACTAGTCCAGGAGGAAAAGCTTCTCAACTCCAGAGAGCTCTTGTTATGGTCTAGCCATAAGCACAAGCTCAGCACATTTTTAACTGTAGCTGGGACAGCTAAGTATATAGTAAGATTCTGTGAACATACTTTTAGACTGTTTCTACATTGTCCCAAGCTCCTTTCTAACTGGGGTTCTGCTTTTAGAAATATCAACTGCAAAATTTAAATATATGGAATGTACTCTGCTCTTCCAAAGGAGGTTTTTTCTTTTTCTTTTCTTTCTTTCTTTTTTTCTTTTTCTTTTTTTTTTGTTTTTTTTTTTTTTTTTGTTCATTGAAATGTTTTATATGGGATTCTTTTAAATGAAGACTCACAAACCCAAGTGCTTACAGGGGCCAGGAGATAGTATATGTAAAAAAAATAAAGTGGGCTGGATGTAGAAATAGGGAGCTCAAATCACACGCTGGAGCTAGTCTCTTAAGTGTATTCACCCATCTTTAGCTCACATGGTACAAAAGCAATGAAGTCAGAGTTTGTAAATTTGACTTTGAGTCTGGGCTCTTCCATTTATTGGTTCTATAACCTTGGACATTGGTAGCTTCATCAACAAAACAGGGGGCTGAAATAATCTCTCAGGTGAGTTCCTGCTTTGTGTGACTGAAGTTTGTGGATACCAATCACTTCAGCCTCCATCCTATAGAGGTCTGAGTCATTGAGTAGGGTCACAAGGAGCCAAAGGGAAACAGAACATGACTTTATTCAGAACTCTCTGACAATGGCTGGATTGGAGAGCACCAAAGGGCTTTCTCCCTCTCATTCCTAACAAAGACCTCAAGAACCATTCTAGACTTACTCCTTTACCGTGCCCGCCCCCCTACCCCAAAGTTAAAAGTGATAAAGTAAGGAGACCCTTCACGGAGAATGTAAATATAAAACCTATAAAACTTGAGTAGAGGCACCTAGAAGAGCCATAGGAAAAAAATTATGCTGTGTTTAGAGAGTGATCTTTCATTCTTAACCTTACCCAAAAGTGGGAAGTAGGTCACACAATGAATGATGTTCTCACACTAGTCTCTCAAATAAGACATTTTTTTCAATACTAAATTGAAGCTTTTGGTACCACTCTCCCCACTCCATTCACACATATACTAGTTAATATTCTTTTTTAAAATTGTTTTTATTGACTTCAGAGAAGAAGGGGGAGGGAGAGAGAGATAGAAACATCAATGTTGAGAGAGAATTATTGATCGGCTGCCTCCTGTATTTTCCCCACTGGGGATCAAGGTTGCAATTTGGGCATGAGCCCTGACTGGGAATTGAACCCTGAACTCCTGGATCATAGGTTGACACTGCGCACTAGTCAGAACTTTTAGTTGCAGATAATAGAATCCAGCCTACAGATATAAGGCATAAATGATTTAAGTGTGATGATAGCTTGGAGAATTGTTGGGAAGGTGAGTCAATTCCCAAGAATGACTTAAAAAACCCATGGACTCTTCAGGGAGGTGCTGCCCTTCTTGATTAGGAAGATGCCACCAGCCTGGCTGCCAGAAACCAGAACCTTATCCTTCTGGTAATTTACCATCAAGACATTGCCTAATGGCCCTGTCAGGTATGGCTCAGTAGATAGAGCATCAGCCTGGGGACTGAAAGGTTGTGGGTTCAATCCTCAGTCAAGGGCATATACCTCCATTGCTGGTACAATCCCCAGCCCCTGTTGGGGTGCATGCAGGAGGCAACCATTCAATTTCTCTCCTCACATTGATGTTTCTCTCCCTCTACCTCCTGCCTCCCTTCCACTTTCTAAAAAATAATAAAAATAAAAATGTAAATGTTTGTTTGTTCAAAAATCTCAAATCTCCAAAAGTTCTTCACCAATTGCTTTGAAATTTTGACACAACATTGCATTCGAATACGTGCGTGTTTCTATATACTTTATACCTACTATTATATAGATGTCACACCTGTGACAGGTAAAACCTGCTTTTTTTTTTTTTAAAAAACAATTCCATATGTTGGATGTAAAAGCAACACACACTATACTAAATATTTTATGATTCCATTTCAATGTTTCCGATTTACAATCTATTTTATGATTTCTAGTTTTATGATTCCATTTCAATGTTGATAATGATTCAAGATTTGAAATCACAAAGTTCTCAATCAATTGGGAATGCCATCTTCGAATCAATCTGCTGCCACTTCATTCGATCTTGAATTGCATCATAAACAAAATTACAACACAGGTGATCTTTTGTCCTATGTGCAACCATATATTCCTAAGCTAACACTTGAACAAAAAGGCATTTAAGATCAAATAATGCAAACTGTCAATAATGGGGTTGGAGAAATCTTCTTTTTAGATGTACCAGAAAGAACTGGTAAAATGTTTCTAATTAGATAAATTCTGGCAGAAATTCCATCCCAAAATGACATGGCCTTAGCTCTTGTGTCGTCCGGAATAGCTGCGACATTGCTACCAGGTGAAGAACTGCTCATTCCGCTTTGAAATTGCCTTTGAACATGCAATTCATTGAAACTCCCACGTGCAACATTTCTAAAGCATCTAACATGGCAAAATTATTGCAGAAATGCAAACTTATTGTTTGGGATGAATGCACAATGGCTCACAAAAAATCGCTTGAGGCTCTTGATCTATCATTGCAAAATTTGTGTGGAAACATCAGACCATTTGGGAACACATTAATATTGCTTGCAGGAGATTTCAGGCAAACATTACCTGTAATTCCTCGATGGACACCCTCGGACGAAATAAATGCTTGCCTGAAATACTCTACTTTGTGGCGACACGTAAAGACGTTAAAATTAACTACAAATATGCATGTTCAACTGCAAAACAATCAATCAGCTGAGATATTCTCGCATCACTTGCTGGAAATTGGGAATGGAATGGTGTCGCTTGATCTGATCTCAGTACAAATTTCATTGCCTCATAACTTCTGCAATTTAGTAACGTAAAAAGAAGAATTGGTTGAAAAAGTATTTCCCAATATTCAAACCAATTATAAGAATCACAATTGTTCGAGTGAATGAGCTATTCTTGAGGCCAAGAACAAAGACATCTACGAACTTAACAATATTATTCAGTCTAACATTCAAGGCAAGGCAGTCACATGCAAGTCCATTGACACTGTTGTGGAAGCAGATGAAACGGTTAATTATCTAACGGAATTTTTGAATTCACTCAATCTGCCAGGGATGCTACTGCATGTACTGCAATTGAAAATCAGGGTGACAGTTATCATGTTGTGAAATAGCAACCAGCCAAAGCTTTGCAATGGCACGTGGCTTTCATTAAAAAAATTAATGAGCAGCCGGGACCGGTTTGGCTCAGTGGATAGAGCGTCGGCCTGCGGACTGAAAGGTCCCGGGTTCGATTCTGGGCAAGGGTATGTACCTTGGTTGCGGGCACATCCCCAGTAGGGGGTGTGCAAGAGGCAGCTGGTCGATGATTCTCTCTCATGGACGTTTCAAACTCTCTATCCCTCTCTCTTCCTCTCTGTGAAAAATCAATAAAAAAAATATTTAAAAAAATAATAAAAATTAATGAGCAAAGTTGTAGAAGCAACAACCTTGACAGGACCTTTCAAAGGTGAAGAAGTCCTCATTCCTCGCATTCCTATGATTCTAATGGATATGCCATTTCGATTTAAGAGATTGAAATTCCAAATTCGATTGGCATTTGCAATGACCATCAACAAAGCTCAGGGCCAATCTTTAGAATTGTGCGGTTTAGATCTAGACACAGGTTGCTTCTCACATGGACAATTATATGTTGCGTGTTCTAGAGTCGGCAAACCCAACAATCTCTATATCTGCACAGACAATGGAACGACAAAAAATATTGTATTCCCACAAGCATTGTGAAATTAAACATACTAGAAACGTGCGCTTTCTCTTTTCTTTCTTTTCCAGTTAGCCAGACTAAGCCACAGCAACGTGTGGCCAGGTACAGCTATAAATAAATAAATAAATAAATAAATAAATAAATAAATAAATAAATAGGAAAAAAAATCAGGTGAGGATTTAATTAAAAAAGTAAAAGAAGAAGAAGAAGAAGAAGAAGAAGAAGAAGAAGAAGAAGAAGAAGAAGAAGAAGTTGCCCAATCTAAGAACTATTTCGATAATTTCCAGCTCAAGAATACACTTTCTTTGATACGGTTCCTGTCAGTCTTGTGCTTAACCTCTCTTTCTTTGTAGCTGAGTGTGAAACAAAGTTGTGTGCTAGTGAGTGCATTAGAAGAGTAGAACTTTGACCTCACCCAGACCCTCACTACAAGAGAGTCCAGGAAATGTAGATTTTAGTTTTTCAAAACCTAACATTGTTAGAAGGCCGCTGGGATGAGGGTTACATGAATTGATCCATCATCCAGAAAATATTGTCTCCCTACAGCCCTTTGCCTCAGAGGGATGGAGAAAGCTTAACACCACAGACAGGACTGGAGGAGCTGACAATGTGGTTAGCAGAACAATAGGCTTGAAGCCAGCCTTACAAGTTTTTAAAAATGTTAGCATATTAAGAGCCACGACACAAAGACATGACACAGTTTCTCTCCATCTGGAGAAGATTAAAGCCTATTAAAGTTTGTCCAAAATGCTTTATGCCCCATACAGAAGGCATATTTAATGGGAAGACAAGGAGAGAGAAGTGAGATTCAGAGAGGTAGAGGAAGACAGATGTCAGAATTCTTGTTTTGTTTTATTTTCCTATACCATGAGAACCATCCAGATAATAGTAGGAAGCCTAAGGACAGAAGGGGTCTTTGCCCTCTTCTTGATTAGAAATCTGGGATTCAATTCTCTGGAAGGATCCTCTGATTCCAGTAAACTCAGTGGGGCATTGCAGATAAACAAAGGCACTGCTGGAGTTAAGTGTTTCTAAGATACTGTGTTTCAGTTTATTTTCTACTAGAGTCTTGGTGCATGGAATTCCTGCATGGGATGGGGGGTGTCCCTCAGCCCAGCCTGCACCCTCTCCAATCTGGGACCCCTCGAGAGATGTCCGACTGCCTGTTTAGGCCCTAATAATCCAGGACTGCTGGCTCCCAACTACTCGCCTGCATGCCTTCCTGCTTGCCCCTAACTGCTTCTGCCTGCCAGCCTGATCGCCCCCTAACTACCCTCCTGCCAGCCTGATTGATGCCTACCTGCTCCCCTGCCAGCCTGTTTTCCCTTAACTGCTCTCCCTTGTAGGCCTGGTCACCCCTAACTGCTCTCCCCTGCAAGCCTGGTCCCCCTCAACAGCTCTTCCCTACCGGCCTGGTTGCTCCCAACTTCCCTCCTCTGCCGGATTGATCACCCCTAACTGCCCTCCCCTGCAGGCTTGATCACCCCCAACTGCCTTCCCTTGAAGGCCTGGTCCTTCCCAACTACCCTCTCCTGCTGGCCTGATCACCCACAACTGCCCTCCCATGCAGGCTTGGTTCTTCCCAACTGCCCTCCCCTGCTGACCATCTTGTGGTGGATATCTGTGTCCACATGGGGGCAGGATCTTTGACCACATGGGGGCAGCCATCTTGTGTGTTGGAGTGATGGTCAATCTGCATATCACTCTTTTATTAGATAGGATAGAGGCCTGGTGCATGGATGGGGGCCAGCTGGTTTTCCCTGAAGGGTGTCCTAGATCAGGATGGGGTACCCTTGGGCATGGGGCAGCCTGTGTGAGGGGCCGGTCAAGCAAAGGCCTTGTTATCTGGAGTAAATCAAGGAAGGGACCACAAGCCAAGGAGTACCAGCAGCCTCTAGAAGCTAGAAAAGGCAATGAAATAGATTTTCCCCTCAAAGCCCGCAGAGGAACCAGACTTGTCAACACTTTGACTCATTTTGGTCTTCTGACCTCTGTAAAATAATATATTCATGATTTTTGAAGCCATGAAATATGTGATAATTTCTAATGTTGAATATAGGAACTAAAACAGACTCCTAATCTCACTTCCTCTACAGAGGTAACCAATGTTTCAATATGGTGTGTATTCTTCTAGACCTTGTTTTACATATGTACATCTGTGCATGTGTCAATGGTATGGTTTTAAGTATTTTTAAATGTTTCACTGCATAAATTATTTTGCATTATGCTCTTTTCACTTACTGTGTCCTG